GTGAAGGGGAGTGTTTCCATGTGCTCTTTCTCTGATTGCTTGTTATTGGTATATGGAAAGGCAACAGACTTTTGTAGGTTAATTCTGTACCCTGCCACTTTACTGAGCGTGTGAATAATTTCTAGGAGTTTTCTGGTGGAATTTTTGGTGTCTCTTAGATATAATACCATATCATCTATAAAAGGGATAATTTGATCTCTTCCAATTATTAGTCCTTTAATTTCCTTCTCTTGCAAGCGTTTAAAGCACTATGTTAAAAAGGAGTGGAGATAGTGGACAGCCTTGTCTGGTTCCTGATTTTAATGGGAATGCGTCCAGTTTTTCTCTGTTTAGAATGGTGTTGGCTATGGGATTGTTGTATATGACTTTAATTATGTTGAGGTATGTTCCCTCCAGTCCAATTCCCTCTAGGACTTTGAACATAAATGCATGTCTTGTTTTGTTTTTTGACATAGGTCTCCCTGCCTGGAATTTATGATGTAGACTAGACTGGCCTCCATCTCACAGAGATCCATGTGCCCCCCGATTTCTGGGATTAAAGGCATGTGCCACCACACCCAGCTGAAGACTTTATTTTGGCTAGTGGTTTTTGCCTTACAAATTTAGACATGGGTTGTCTTACAGCCTGTAATCCAGGCTCGAAACTGAAATTCTTAGAAATTTTTTGTGCTGTTTTTCTTTCAGAAACAGTAAAGGGAACTAATGAGAAGAAAAATAGTATAGAACCTTAAAATATAAGAATTTCGCCCATGTTTTTCCTTCCTTAGCAGACTTTATTTGATGACAATGACCATTCTGAACTCAAGTTTTAAGGCAGTTAATAAGTTCAACAAAAATTAAGCTAGGAAGCCCCTCAAACTTATGTACCAGTCATTATTTTTTATTGAAAAGCTAGTTGTGATTGTGACTGCTGTTTATAGTTTATAGTCAACAAATGCTGATGCTGTAGGTAATATCTGTGAGTAGGGTCAAGAGGTTGCATCTGGACCAAGTTGCTTAGATACAATATAGGTTCCCAGAGCTTTCCCATCTCATAACTCAGTTGGAGAAGATTATTTCAATGTGACCTCAAAACTCTTAATTCTTGATCCCTTACGTAGAGAAAAGAACAACTTTACTCCCAAAACATTGGCAGGGACTAATATTAAAGTGTGTTATAATTCCCAGAGATTGCACACTTAATTAATACTGTAGTCAGGGGAAAAGAGAGGCCAGGTATAATCCCCTTTTCACTCTCTCTTCTGGACTTCATAAGCAAAAATGAACTTGTGTGTCCACCCGATTATCACCTCTGATTATCCCAATTATCCCAATTATCTTTAATGTTTGGTGACTTCTAGGAAGTACTGCAGAATTAAACAAGCATAGTGGGTCATCCCCGGAAGCATAAAATGCGGGGATGTTTGATTGTAATGCATAGAGCTCATGTGGCACCTCCATAGACAGAAATCCCTGAACAGCCCCCGACAATGTAGGAAGAATGAAGTAGTCACCTTTACAATAACCATTCATTATAAAGAATTAAGTTCCTCTTACTTGTGGGTATTTCTTCCACAATCAGCACCTGCCTCCTTGTTAATAGACTGCTGGTGCCATATTTATGTAATTTATATTCTTCACATGTGGCACACAGGCTCTTGGAAGCCTTTCTTTTTTCCCTTCGTTTTTTTCATGTGGTGAATTTTTACTAAACACCTCTTTGATTGTGTTCTGTGCTGGGCACTGGAGAGAAGATTGATCAAAACTAGATAGTCTGCACTTTGCTGGGGCTTCAAGCATCTTTCCTCTTTCTGAGCTGGTGCCTTAAGCTGTTGACTCTGTTCTCAAGTTGCTGCTCGCTCTTTGTCTTAATACTCATCTGAATGAGAACTGACCACTTAATTTCATTTTCTCTGCTTAACTCTTGTGTTCTTAAAAATTGGGTTGCTCAGTCAAGCTCAGTGGAGCACACCTTTGATCCTAGTAGAGGCAAGTGGATCTCTGTGAGTTTGAGGCCATCCCGGTCTACATAGCAAGTTCCAGACCAGCATAGGTTTTTTTTTTTTTTTCCTTTCCTTCCTTTTTTTTTTTTTTTTTTTTTTAGATTTTTTTTTATTTACCTGATCTTTTTTAGGACACACAAATGATCATATAACTTTAATCAGGATGATGTTCACTCTCCTTTCCTTCCTTTTTTTTTTTTTTTTCTTTTAGAGATGCTCTTGCTATAGCCCAGCCTGGTCTCAAACTCCTAATCCTGCTGTCTCCACCTAGGATTACAAGTCTGCCATACCACATCTAGCTAGAAATAAAAAGATTTTGAACACATTTGCCTTTTGAACATTTTTTAATCACATCATTCCTGTTCACAGTTTATGGAATGATTAGGGAAAGCCTGAAACAGCAGCCTGTCCTCATGATCGAGCTTTTGCTTTTCAACTTCAGATGAGTGTTCTTGGCTTTGCGCTGTTGTTTGCGTAGCGTGCTCGGCCCTCAGTGTGGTACACCACATCACTTGTAACTTTCCACTTTAGCTCATGTTCATTTGGGTACGTGTGTATTTATCTGACCTTTAAGCTTCTAATTTCTGCAGTTTCTGTCTTTGATACTGTGGTTCCTTCCTTAATTCATTGAACTGTTCGTGTTTTTTCATTTTTCTTGTATTTCTGTTTTGAGATTTGTTATCTGTTAGAATGGTTATCTCTTACGCTGTTATGTCATGGTCTCTTAATGACTTGCTCATGATAATATATCTTGGAGGTATGAGTCCTGGGCTTGATTCACAGCCTTCACATGACCCCAACATGATCTTGGTACATATGTATCTAAAGGGAATCCGAAAAAGTAGAAAAAAACATGTTCACTGTAGTAGATGTGATCACACACTGGAGAAATGAAGAGCGAATCAACTAAATCCATACTAGGGCTGATACGGTTTTCATTCAGTAAGATGATTTATTGCTAAATGAACGATAAAAAGTAGAGCTTTCTTGTATGTGTAATCAATTGGAGATTGTAATTTAAAAGTAATCTAGTAAACAGTTGCATTCAGTACAAATGCATAAGGAATAACTTGGAAGGTATACCCCAAACTTAGTACTGAGGGAATGCTAAAGATGTTTTTACTCAATACTTTTGTGTTTCTTGAACATTTACAGTGAGTAGTACGTATCAATATGTGCATGTCTTACATATTTAAGAATTAGCATATTTAATACTAAATTTATGTTTAATATTTTAGAGAATTGGTTTCCAACCTCTGCTGTTGTTGTTTAGGGTGCCCAGGAACGCATAGATAGCCTGCGGCGAACCGGACTGATCCATGAAAAGCAGACTGCTGTGTCGGTAGAAAACTTCATTGCAGAGCTGCTGCCTGACAAGTAAGAGGCACATAGTGTTTCTCTGGGAAGCAAAATACAGCTGTGTCTGGAGTTTACACTGAACACGTAGCACCGTGTCTCCTGTCTTAAAGCCAGAGCCAAGTGTCTGCTGTGATGGTGGCCTGCCACTATTGCTCAGCTGACGTGTCTAGCCTCACTTCTCTCTTGTAACTAAGCAGTAGAGACAGAAAGGCCTGTTCTCTGAGACTGTGCTAATAGACACTCTCATAGGACTAAATATGAGAACGTGCACCGGTATGTTAGCTGGGTATAACAACACTGGCAGCAAGCCCAGTGCTTCCCAGCAAAGCGAGGTGTGGGCAAGAAGACCTGACAGCAGTCAATAGTTGGAGATACCTAGTACTCAGTAGGGTTTGGCTTTAAAAACCTCCAGAAAGCACCATAGTTTGTTTTCTTTGTTTGGTCTTTTTTGATACAGGGTCTCCCTGTAGCCCCAGCTGTCCTGGAACTCACTATGTAGACCAGGCTGGCCTTGAACTCAGAGAGATCTACCTGCCTCTGCCTCCCGAGTGCTGGGATTTTTGAGAGCTCCATTTTTTAAATAAAAATTTTTAAATTAGAAAACCTTTTTTGGGTATGCTGAATTACCTTATAGTAAAATAACTGCTGAATCCTGCCTTCTCAATTGCAGGGTGGTTTTGTTTTAGTCTTTATTTTTTGTTAATTTGCATACCTAGCATTCTGCAACTTTACTATGCAAAGTTGGAGGGGAAGGATTGGGTGTGGATTTTTTCAAAACACCTTATATGCATTATGAAATTCTCAATAAATTATTTTTTTTTAAAAAAGAAGGTAGATGAATATATTAACAACTTGAAAGAATTGATTTAAAAAGTTAGGTCATTTTGGGGGGGCTAGAGAGATGGCTCAGTGGTTAAGAGCACTGACTGCTCTTGCAGAAGACTCCGGTTCAATTCCCAGCACCTGCATTGTGGCTAAGAACCGTCCTTAACTCCAGTTCCAGGGGAATCTGAAGCCCTCTTCTGACCTCCGTGGCATTGCACGACATGGGTGCACTCACATCCATGCAGGCAATACACTCATATACATAAAAATAATAAAATTTTTTTTAAGTTAGGTCATTTTTTTACTGATGAAAATAATTATATGAAATTTCAATGGAAGTAACTCAGTGTGGAGGTAGTGTGAGCTGAAATTCATGAGTGGTTAGCGCTCAAACTGGATTTTGAAAAGGTAAAATGTGGGTAAATGGCAAAAGCAGACGGGACAGTCTAGGTGGAAGAAGTTCACATGTGGAGGGCTTTGCATCCTGGGTGAAAAGTTCAAACACTAGAATGTGAACCCCGAGGAACCACTCGGTGAAGACTTACTTCATTTTTCCTTCTGTTAGCCTTTTACAGCCTGCGATGTGTTACATTGTACCCATTTTCAGTGCTGCTCACGGCTTTCCTTTCTGCAGTGGTGGTGTTCTTACTTGTGCATAAGTTCTTAAGGCACGAGTTATGTCCTGTGCAGTCTCCCTGTGTCAGCCCGAGTCCCTCTGTTTTCTTCTCTCTGGTTCACCTTCCCTCTGCAGTGCAAGGGGCTCACTGTAAATGCTCCCTGTTTTGTTCCCCCTTATTTTGCTGGATGTGGACATCTAGGGTGGCCTTTCTTTAGGACCTGGAATGTCATTTCTGTTGCTTCCTTACTTCTGCTAAGTTAACAAAGTTTCCTCTGGCTGCTTTGAGGATTTTCTCTGTCATTTGGATGTTCCCGTTTTGCTGCCACGGATGTTTTGGGCTTGCATGCTTCTGCAGTTTGTTTTTGAGGTGTCACTGAGCTTGATTCTTTGGATTGATTGATGTCTTTCATCCATTTGGGGAATGTCTTCACCACTGTATCTTTGAGGATTGCTTCTGGCCTGTTTTTTTGCTTATATTGATAGTCTCTAATTGCAAGCTTATTTACCTGTGGCAGTGCCCCACATTTTCCATTGCCAGTTTTTTCCTGTCAGCTGTTTTTCTCTCTGTTCTTCATTTGGATGATCTGGTTGGTTTCTATTGACCTGTCTTCAGGCTCACTAATCCTGCCTTCTGCTGTGTCCAGCCAGTTGTTAAGCCCAGGTATTAAATACCCTTTTCTTTTTTTAGTAGGTTCCATTGATCTATTGAATACCTATACTTCATCTCTTTTAACTATTTTCCTGAACATATGAATCATATTTTAGAATTCTTGCCTGTGGTGCAAAGATAGCTCAGTGAGTAAAGGCCCTTTTTGCTCAAGCCTGGCAACTTGGTTCAATTCCAGAACCCACATAAAGGTGGAAGGAGAGAACCAACTCCACAAAGTTGTTTATAAAAATCTCTGGAGCCTTTGGGTGACACAGAAGATTGATACTTCCTCTGACAGGCAGAGCTGTGCAAGGAAGGGGGTCATGTGACCCAGGCTGCTGAGCAAGGCTGGCCTGTGCTCAGGGTCAGTGCATGGCTTCAAGTTCACACATGAAAGGCTTTTCCCCTCTGTTTGGTCTCCTTGCTCCTACAGCATTTGATACCTTTAAATGTGTGATCTGTGCTTTTTATTTTTTCATTGAGCTTTTTATTGGCAGCATGGACTTGTGGATTCCTCTGGGTATTGGAGATAGGGCTTTTTTCCCTTTTGATACTTTTCTAGTAAGAGAGAAAGATGTTACAAAGATCAGCCATGCTATCTAGTATTAGGAAGTCTGCTGATGGCACAAGCTGATGGCAGCCTGTGTGGATTAAAGAGAAGAGACAACGGAAGATTTAGGTGGTAAAGAGCAGTGAAGATGGCCAGGATAAGCAGCAGAGTGTAGCCCAGAGCCCACACTTACTGACTTCTGCTGTGGCTGCTTCTGTCTGCAGTGCTCCTGTTGCGAGTAGGTATAGAGGCCATAAAGTTAACGAAACGCTTAGAACTAAGGCTAGAAAACGCCCACTAGAAAAAACAGTCCAGCTAAGAGTGAAAAAACTCTAGAGTGTAGCCCAGAGCCCACACTTACTGACTTCTGCTGTGGCTGCTTCTGTATGCAGTGCTCCTGTTGCGAGTAGGTATAGAGGCCATAAAGTTAACAAAACGCTTAGAACTAAGGCTAGAAAATGCCCACTAGAAAAAACAGTCCAGCTAAGAGTGAAAAAACTCCCAGCAAGTGTCACATGAAGAGTATAGACCTAGTCATTTTTTCAGATGTTTTCCATCAGTTAATGCTAAATTGGGAAAATGAGTTTGGTGGCTTCCACATACAGAAAAAAGGCAGTGTAAGTATTCTGAGATTAACAAATCCAAGTTTTGATGGTAAAATCTTGGATAAGTGTACTAAAATGTCCTTAAATACGTTGAGCTCTTGCTTCTTTGTGAATCGATTGGTGATAGTGGGACATCTCAGTGCAGTACAGTTTGATGCATGTTATCTCTTCTCTGACTAGCTTTTCTGCTATGTGAACTGTAAATAAATGCCTTGGCACACTGCCCATCGTGTCCTCATTTTGCCCTACACATGGAGGGAGATGGAGATCATCCCTAGTGATCCATCTGGATCATCTTCCCACCCCCAAGTGGTCCTGTTGAAGGACATTATGAAGGAGAGGGAGGACTGAAGATCCCCTAGGCAGCAGAGCCAGGGACCAAATGGGAGAGCTTTGTGTAGGTGGCAGTGACTGCATTTATACACTGAGTTGCAGGGAATGGGGCAGCAGTTTCCAGACTGAAGTATTTGGCAGTAATGGTATTCTCGAGAACAAAGGTTGACCATGGTATTCTAATGTGTACTCACTAGGGTGATGAAAGAAACAGCTCAGGTCTTCATGACTGCTTTTCTTCAAGTGCAAAGGCCCATGCTCCAGGTTAGTCAGTGCTCTGTTCATGAGGATGTCTTGCTGAAGTTGGACAAAATGATTTGAAGGTTTAGCCAAGCTTGACTACATTTTCTTGAACAAGGAACAGTGTCATAATAAAATATGAAATTTTGTTAGGATATCAAATAAAATGTCATTATTTAATGTTAGAATTTGTTTATAATTTTTACGTTTCATTGGTATGAATGCCAAGACATTGTAAAGTGTCATTTTAATATTCTAAGAGTTGTTTCTGCTGCTCTGCACCTTATTTGATGTTTTTTTACTACAAATACTCCTCCTTATTAATTTTGTATTTATTTGAAGTTTATTAAAGCTATGTATTTTTTTTTTTTTAAATAGAGACATTGAATATTGCTGTGCCCCCATGTGCTTACTGTTTAAATTCTTGATTTCAGGGTTGTGTTGTAATTCTGGCAGCTAAAATTGTGCTGTTGTTCCAGTTGCTTCAGTACATTTATCAGTGTCTTAGTTTTTGTTATCTATAAGTATGTTTCAGTGGAAAAGGTTCCTCGATTTTATGGGGATATTTTCAGAGGTTGACTCATCGTGAGTCACTCAGAAAATGTGATTAGAAGGTTTTATCATTCATGAGAGTGCTTGTTATTTCCTCTGAATGAGCTTATTTAATTTACTAGTAGCATTGCTAGATAACTATGTGTTAGTGGTATAGTTAGTTGGTGATCCAAACTTTCCATGCCAGTAACATTTAAAAGAAGCTATTTGCATATTGAAGTACATATAAATTTATCAGCTGCGTATTTGAGCACCCCTGATTCCTTTATTCCCACCGTCTCAGCAAGAAAGAAATTTTCATATAAGGAACTTAATTTTTTCTTTTTTGTTGCTCCCCTTTCTTTCTCCTCTCAGAATTAAAACAGTAGGTAATTTTACCATTGTGTTTATGGGTTGTTTGCTTGCAAACTAATTAGAAAACCATTTCCTTTTTGAACCGATTAGTAGTTTATCTGAAAAGAGAGGATTGTCCATTTCTACTTTTTCCCTTTACTTTAGCCCTGTAGCATATAAACAACATGAAGCCTATGTTTTCTGTTCTAGATGGTTTGACATCGGTTGTTTGGTGGTTGAAGACCCTGTGCACGGCATTCATCTAGAAGCTTTCACTCAAGCCACGCCAGTGCCTTTGGAATTTGTGCAGCAGGTTGGGTTTTCTCCCTTGCTTTTTTGTGATGCTCCATAGAAACTTGTAACGTTGTCATCACACAAAAATATCTGCTAGGTACAGTGTGAGGATTATGCTTTATTTATTTCTATTTTCTGTGTATGAGTGTTTTGTCTGCATGTAAGTGCACCTGTGTCACACATGCATAGAGAGGCCAGAAGAGGGAATCGGATCCCCTGGAACTGGAGATATGGATGGCGCTTAGCCGTATCGTATTTGGTGCTGAGAACCAAACCTAGGTCCTCTGGAAGAGCAGCAGTGCTCTTAACCACTGAGCCATCTCTCCAGTCCCACTTTCCAATCTCTTGATTCTTCCACGTTGCTTTTGCTTTCCAGCTGACTTAGGGAAGGTAATAGATTGCATCTTATTTTCCTTTTTTATGATTATGTTCCTGACCTTTAAATCAGAAGAAATTTGACCTTTGAATCTATTTTATTTCTGCAGTGCAATAGCATTTCCCTTTATTTAATATGTGTCTGAGTCTCTGTGTGTGTACATGGGTGCAGATGTGTGCATGTGTGTGCATGCGCGTGGGTGTGGAAACCAGAGGGATCCTCCTGTCTCTGGCTCCCCATCATGCTTGGCTTCTCCTATGTGGGTGCTGGGGATTGAACTCAGGTCCTTGTGCTTCTATGCAGTCACTTTACCAACTAAGCCATCACTCGAGCCCCTGCCAAGCTCATCTTTAGTCCTACTGTACACCCATTTCCCTTTCCTTTGATCTAATCTTCCTTTGTAGTTCATTTTAGTAACAGTCAAAATTTAGGTTTGTTGACTGAAAAATGGATTTAATCATGTAGCTCTCAACAGAGTTTCCAGAAGAATATTTTTGATAATTCATACTTCTCTGTATTTTTGTATAAATTTTTTCTTAATTCTCTAATGAACAAAATAGGACATGCATATGTCACTGCATTTGTACTAGTAAATGATATCTTGCTGATTTTTCTTCTGTCTTAAATTACCGGAGACTCTAATAGAGTTGTTGGATTCTCTACCAAGAAAAGTTTACATGTTTACAGTTCCATTTAAATTTAGTATATGTGTTCTTAAAATTCCTGAAAGCAATTAATTGCCCTTTCAGATGTTTAAAGTGGAGAAAGGGGGCTAAAATTAATGCTTTGATTTTTGAAACCTTACTGAATATTTATATCATAATTTCTCTTCAGAAGTTTAAGAAGACTTTTTATAGTGTTACTGTTGTATTCATTCTGATATGAGTATGGTTTAAAGATTGTAAGCAAATACTATATATATTGTTATACTAATAAAAATTTAACCTTACATAAAGTGACAAATTTTCTTGGGAAATATAAATTTTACCATTGTTGATTCAAAAGTATTTAGTTGAACCATACAGAATTGCTGTTCTTGATAGTGAGAAAGTAAATATCGTATTTCATATGATTTAAACTATTTACTTCAGTGCAGCATCACCAGGAAAGACCTCTGCCTGACCAAACAGATCACCACATTCTAACGTCATTAGTGAGACCTACAAAGTGTTCAAACAACAGATTGTTCTTATGCTGCCTAGAGTATCAGAAATGAGGCTAGAAGGTTTTCACCAGTCATATAATTAAATACATGAATAGATTAAAGATGAAAAAGGATTTCAGTAGTGTGCCTGATAGCTTTAGTGTCAACTTGACACACCTGAGTTGAGGGAGCCTCTATTGGGGGAATTTCCTTTATTGGACTGGCCTGTGGCCATGTCTGAGGGCATCTTCTTGATGAGTGATGTGGGAGGGCCCAGCCCACTGTGGGTGGTGCCACCCCTGGGCAGGTGGGCCTGTGTTGCATAAGAAAGCAGGCTGAGCAGGGGCCAGGGAACAAGCCAGTAAGCAGTGTTCCTCCATGGCCTGTGCTCCAGCTCCTGCCTCCAGGTTCCTGCCCTGAGCTCCTAGCCTGGGCTCCCAGATGAACTGTGACCTGGGATATGTAAGCTAAATAAACCCTTTCCTCCCCAAGTTGGTAGTGGTCAGAGTATTTTGTCATAGCAATGAAGAACAAACTAGGATAAGTAGAGCTAAGGAATTTGCTAGAAATAACACACATGCTGTTTAAGAATTTTAGGGATAAAGCACCAAGAACTTTGCAGTCGTAAGAGTGCTCTGTTGCTGTGTTGTTAACATGGAGGTGGACCTGGGGTCAGCACACAGAGGTGCACAGCCAGCGCTGGCCTAGTGCCTGCTCTTCTGTTCGTGGAGTACACCTGCCAATCTGCTTGCTCAGTTTATAGTTGCTTTGGTGCTAAAAGCGCAAAATTGAGTAGTTGCAGTGAAGATTGCCTTCAAAATCTAAAATGTTTGCTCTTTGGCCCCTTTCAAAAAGCTTTATTGGCCCTTGGGCTCGATGTCTGACTGTCACAAAACGGTAATTGTAATTTTAGAACTAGTATTGGGAAGACATAGACATGATGCTCAGAAGTGAAATCGAGCTATGTATATCAAAAGCTGTCATGGACTGCTAAGTAAATGTCATAGAGCACACTTAGTCAGTGTGGTCCTTCTTACCTGCAAGGAGAGTCATATGTGTTAGAATGTATACAGATGAATGTCAAAGCCTGGGGAGATGCTCAGCCAGCCATTAATAGAGTTAACAGAAGAGTGTTATTCAGACAGTCTCATTTGCTTTTGACTGTTTAGTTTTTGTTATGTGGTCTTAAAATCCCCAAGATAAGTTGTTGTGTGCATTGGAAGTCTTTTACTGCCAGTGGCTCACTATTTCTCCTGCTTCTTTTTATCTGTCCTGAAATGTGTGTTCCTGAGCCTCTTTATTATTGCAGTTCTGTAATTTAAAGGAAATAGAAATCATCCCTTCAGAGACTTGGAATTGTCAAATAATTGTAAATGCACAGTAGTGAAAATCTGTTAAAAAAATTTCTCATACTTACAACTTTTAAGCATAAGTGATTCCTCCCGTTTCCCGGTAAAATTCCAGCCACTCTGAATTTTGGTTAATAGTGTCAGATCACCCAGAACTGTGATCATTGGTCAAGGTACACAGGTGTCACCTGCAAATCTGATTTTTTTTTTTTAAAGCCTTTCAGGCTTTTGACAAAATTCAACGTGTATTTATGTTCAGAGTCCTAGAGGGAATTGGACTGGAGGGAACATACCTCAACATAATTAAAGTCATATACAACAAACCAACACCATTCTACGGAGAGAAACTGGAAGCATTCCCATTAAGGAACCAAATAAGGATGTCCACTGTCTCCACTCCTTTTTAACATAGTGCTTGAAACTCTTCCTAGAGCAATAAGACAGGAGAAGGAAGTTAAATACTAATTGGAAAAGAAGAGGTCAAACTATCCCTTTATGCAGATGATATGATACTATAAGGGATCCCAAAAAGTTCCACCAGAAAACTCCTAGAACTACTGTTCAATACTTTCAGTATAGTGGCAAGTTATAAAATCAATCTAAAAAAATCAATTGCCTTTCTATATACCAATAACAAGCAATTGGAGAGAGAATACAGGGAAATGCTTCCAGTCACAATTGCTGCTGAAAAATAAAATATCTTGGAATAAATCTGACCAAAGACACCAAAGATCTCTACAATGAAAATTTTAAATCATTAAAGAAAGAGATTGAGGAAGACACCAGGAGATGGAAAGACCTCCCATGCTCATGGATTGTAAGAATTAATATTGTGAAGATGACCATCCTACCAAATACAGTATATACATTCAATGTGATCCCAATCAAAATCCCCATGACATATGTCACAGAATTTAAAAAAAAGTCCTTAAATTCCTGTGGAAGCACAAAAGACCCTGGATAGCCAAAGCAACCCTGAGCACAAAGAGCAACACTGGGGGATTACTATACCAGATCTCAAAGTATACTACAGAGCTATAGTCATAAAAACAGCATGGTACTGAGAGAAAAATAGACACATAGATCAATGGAATGTCATTGAAGACCCAAACCTGAGTACACAGAATTTCAGCCACCTGATATTTGACAAAGATGCCCAGAACACACAATGGAGGAAAGAGCATTTTCAACAAATGGTGCTGGTAAAACTGGATCTCCACCTGTAGAAGAATGAAACTAGATCCTTATCTTTCATCTTGCACAAAAGTCAGCTCCAAATGGATCAAAGACTTCAATGTGAACTGGAAATCCTGAAGCTATTAGAAGAAAATATTGGCAGTAAGTTATAAGATATAGGTGTAGGAAAAGATTTCCTACATCAGATAGCAGATGCTCAGGAATTAAGGTCAGCAATCAATAAGTGGGACCTCATTAAACTAAAAAGCTTCTGTATAGCAAATGAAACAATCAAAAATTGAAGAAAAACCCACAGAATGGGAAAAAAATCTTCACTAGCGACACATCTGACAGAGGTTTAACATCTGGAATATATAAGGAACTCAAAAAAACAAAGAATCGAGAAATCAAATGACCCAATTAAACGATGAGCTAAAGATCTAAACAGAGAGTTCTCAAAGGAAGAAATAAAGATTGCTAAGAAACATCTCAAAACGTGTTCAACATCGTTAGTAATTAGGGAAATGCAAATTAAAACCACCCTAAGGTATCACCTTACCCCAATCAGACTGGCTAGGATCAAGAGAACAAATGATACCAAAGGCTGGTGAGGATGTGGAGAAAGGGGGATGCTCATTCACTGCTGGTGGGATTGCAAACTCATGAAACCTCTATGGAAGACAGTGTGGAGAACTCATAAGAAACTAAGAATGGAGCCAGGCATGGTGGCTCACACCTTTAATCGAAAGAACACATCCTACTGCAGAGACACTTGTACATCCATGCTTGTTGCTGTTCTTTTCATAATAGCTAAGAGACTGAAGCATCCTAAGTGTCACTCAACTGTCAAGTGGATAATGAAAATGTGGTTTATTTATACAAATGTAGTTCTACTCAGCAGTAAAGCAAGATGAAATCATGAAATTTCCAGGTAAATGGATGAAACTAGAAACTGTTATACTAAGTGAAGTAACACAGACTCAGAAAAACAAATGACGTATGTTCTCCCTCATATGTGACTCCTAGCACCAAATCCTTTTTCATTCATGTCCTTTTAATAAGATGACTCTGTACAGCAGTCTCTTCTGCATGAAATAACTACCATCATCACGACTTCAGCTGTGCCTGATCGCTAACTTTTGTCACAATTGGGTTTGTTGACAGTTGTTCTCATTCATTAAAGGAGGGCCAAGCAGGGCCATTGGACCCTCACCAGGGTATCCAGCCCCTCTTCCCAGCCAACTGTATGTAATTTGGCCCCAGTCATGGTCTCCTAGATTTTGGGAGGGCTGTAGTTTACAATCTGGGGAAGGCTAGGAAGAGAAGACTTGACCCATGCTGGGTAAAGGCTTTCCAGTGTGCATACCCTCAGGTCATTCATATGCCTCAGCAACCCCTCAGTTATCTT